GTTTAGTCATAAGAATGGTGAACAGAGACAGGTTTTCATTAACATTATGAAAACTGAAATTTGCTCTTCCAGTTGGAGCGAAGGTAGATCATAACTCCTCGAAATGCGTATCTTATTCTGTGATTTTGCCATTTTATAAAAAAGCTAAGAGTAGTTTACATACAAATGATGACACTTAGGCTGGCCATACATTATGCAATTTTCTTCCCTTCAACTGTAGGTAGAAGGAAAAAAAAATTCACTCAGTTGCCCCATCAACACAACCAGTGTTGATGGGGAAGTCCCCCCCCCCCAACACTATTTGCTATTGGATTCTGATAGTGGGAAGTTTTCCCACCATCAGAATACAATGATCACTGCTGCTGGCTATAGCCTCAACTCAACAGGCTGGTTGTATTAAAGTCATTCGGTAGATCAACTTCATTACACCCAGCATACACATAGATGGATTCCTTTTAGGTTTTAATATTGTATATGCATACAAATATTTTATAAACTGTATATAAAGTGTTGTTAATCACCTTGACTCATTACTTGAAACAAGCAAACTTACTAACTTTTCTGATCTGCAGTCTTGCTCTAGGTTAGTAACTCCGGAAGCACTGAATGATAATGATTCATAGAAATGAGTATGACAAAGTGAGAAAAATAAATTGCATCAGTTGTCAAAAATACATTTGAAACATGTTACAATAAAATTATGAATAAAACCCATATTGTTCAAATTCTACTTTCCTTAAGAAATGACAGGTGTGGAGAAGCCGTGGAGAACGTTTTGCTGCATGTAACATCGTTCAGCATGACCGTTTTGGTGGTGGGTCATTGATGGTCTTGGGGGGCATATCCATGGATGGATGCACAGACCTCTATAGGCTAGACAATGGCACCCTGACTGCCATTAGGTATGCAATCCTTGGACCCATTGTCAGACCCTACACTGGTGCAGTGGGTCCTGGGTTCCTCCTGGTGCACGACAATGCCCGGCCTTATGTGGCAAGCATATGCTGGCAGTTCCTGGAAGATGAAGTAATTGATACCACTGAATGGCCCCCATGCTCGCCTGACCTATAGCCAATAGAACACATTTAGGATACCATGTTTTGGTCCATCCGACGCCCCCAAGTTACACCTCAGACTGTCCAGGAGCTCAGTGATGCCCTGGTACAGATCTTGGAGGAAATACCCAACAACACCATCCATAATCTCATTAGGAGCATGCCCCGACATTGTCAGGCATGCATACAAGCACGTGGGGGCCATACAAACTACTGATTACCTTTTTGAGTTTGCTACATGGAAGTTTCAGCAAAAATGGACTAGCCTGCTGCATCATTTTTTCACTTTGATTTTCGGGGTGTCTTTGAATTCAGTCCTCTGTAGGTTGATCATTGTCATTTACATCAAACGATGGGGCATCCTTATATCCAGTATCATATTTTTCCCCATTGAGTTATGATCTGTTTTCAAAGTGTTCATTTAATTTTTTTGAACAGTGTACTAACAGTTTTGGTGACTGACTGGGGATATAGAGTACATTGGGATTAATATCTCAGTATACATTGCAGATTGCTTCATTCATATTCTCCTGAGGAAGTGAATTAATCTCTTGAAATCCATAGAGAAAATATAGTCCCAGTGCTGTACATTTGGTTAAGCAGAATAGCGGGAGGGATTCCTGCTTGAAGGTATTTTCCACTTTTTGTACATGTTGCAGTTTATGGCCTACATGATTTTATCTACGTATGTCTATCATATGATTTTAAATATACTGCAATATATTAACTTTTTTTTTATTTAACTGACATTATAGATCCTCTTTGGTGACTGGAGAGTTCCTTTTTTGGCAGTTTGAACAAATATTTGTAGCATTTAGCAAGGGTAATGGCAGGAGACATACAGTGCTCAGCATAAATGAGTACACCCCTTTTGAAAAGTAAGATTTTAATCAACATCTCCATGAACACAAGAACAATTTCCAAACTTTTGACAAAACTGAGTTTTATAGAACATTTGTCTAGCTCATTACACAAAAGTAAGGTTAATAATATAACTTAGATTACGAAATCTTCAGTTTTGCTCAAATTAGTTGATGCAAAAATAAATACATCCCACAACAAAAACTACTACGTCTAGTATTTTGTATGACCTCCATGACTTGTAAAGACAGTACCAAGTCTTCTACGCATGGAATTAACAATTTGGTGACATATTGCAGCATCTATCTTTTTCCATTCTTCAAGAACGACCTCTTTTAGAGCCTGGATGTTGGATGGAGAGTGATGCTCAACGTCAGAATTCCCCATAGGTGTTCGATTGGGTTCAGATCAGGAGACATACTTGGCCACTGAATCACTTTCACCCTGTTCTTCTTCAGAAATGCAACAGTGGCCTTAGATGTGTGTTTTGAATCATCGTCATGTTGGAAAAGTGTACGACAACCAAGGGCTCGGAGTGATGATAGAATCTACTCTTTTAATATAGAGCAGTACACCTGTGAATTCATGATTACCATAAATGAAATGCAGCTCCCCAACAAAAGCAGCACTCATGCAGCACCGCAGAAGGACACTGCCACCACTATGCTTCACTGTAGGCATCATGCATTTTCCTTTGTACTCCTCACCTTTGCAATGCCATACAGTTTTGAAGCCATCAGTTCCAAAAATATTTATCGTGGTCTCATCACTTTAGAGTAAAGAGTCCTAGTAGTAGTCTTCTTTTCAGCATGGGCCCTGGCAAATTCTAGGTGGGCTTTTTTGTACATGGGCTTTACGAGAGGCTTCCTTTGTGGACTACACCCATGCATGCCATTCCTCTGCAGTGTACACCGCATTGAAACAATCACCCTGGTTTTCTACTTCTTTAGCTAACTGCAGTAAACTTGCATGGAGATTCTCTTTGACCCTCATCAGAAGATGCTCCTGTGAAAGTGTTAACTTCTGTGGATGGCCTGCACGTCTCTGTATCACTTTTGCTACAGTATTCTGACTGATAAGTAAAGCTTTGCTGATCTCCTTGTAGCCTTCCCACATTGAAGAAAAATATATTTTAAATATATTTTAAAAATATTTTTTCCCAAATATATCGAAAAATTTGAAATACTACAATTTTGGCCATATTCAATATATTTAAAAATATATTTCAATAAATAAATTATATATATATATATATATATATATATATATATATATACACACACTGTATGTTGAAATATGTTTTTTTATTACAAAATATATGAAAAATATTTTTAAAAATACATTTCAAATATATTGTATGTCTTTAAAATACATTTTTTATATGTTAAAAAAAATCTGAAGAATATATTTAAAAAATATATATATTTTTAAAATATATATTTTTTTAAAGTATATTTTTCAGATTTTTGTTAACATTCCTCTGTCAAGATCTCTTCCTGACCAATTCTGATCTTATGTCACCACGCACGCCAGGACCATGTGGTATGATCACGTGACCGCTGCTGTGGGAATCTTATCCAGAAGTGTGTGGTGAGACTGTCACCTGCTGCTGAAGTGGCTGTCAGAAGGTTTTGGAGTGTTACTCATGCAATGTGATTTTATTTTTGACTAAATGTGAGTTTCATTTTAAGGGGGGCTTTGGTTAATAAATGTGTTAACAGAATTACACTATGTGGTTGTTTTCAGTTTGCCCACATATGGAGTTGGATTACTAAGTAAATCTTAATGATGAGGCGGTCGGAAGGAGAGTGATCAATACTTTATTGGATGGATGGTGATCTTGTTCTGTGACACTGAGATTGAATAGCACACTGTCGGCCCTATAATCATTCAGCATCAGGGAGTGTGATTTTCCACTGCTGGTTACTCACCAGTTTCTGGTTAGTGTTCAATTTGATGGGGTGTTAGTCACTGGAGGATCACTATAATGGTGGATTGAACAACCTTAAAGGAATATAACACAGCAATGAAATGAACTGAACTGTATTTCACATTTGCACACTTTGGTGGAAGTTTCTTTATTTCCTTTTATATGTGTTATCGATTTACATATGATCCCTTGTTTTTTAGGGTAAATTTAATATAACTGAGTACTGTTTATGAGGACGTTCCAATTACTCATATACAGTATCTGTAAGAACATTACTTATTGTTTTTTTTTTTAAATATTAAGTGCAGGTCTTTCTGAAGCTCTCCACCAGTGGTACTTGGCTCTTGGACAACTCTTCTGACAATTATTTTCACTCCTTGTCAGAAAATCCTGGTCATGGCTGGTTTATGGTGAAATTATGTTGTTTCCACTTCCGGATTATGGCCACAACAGTGCTCACTGGAACTTTAGAAATCCTTCTGTAACCAATGCCATCAGTATGTTTTGTAACAATAAGGTTGCGAAGGTCTTGAGAGAGCTCTTTGCTTTTACCCATCATGAGATGTTTCTTGTGTGACACCTTGATAATGAGACACCTTTTCATAAACCATCAGTTGAGAATGAACCAGCTGATAGTAATTTGCACTGACAAAGGGCGGTAGTGCTTTCTAATTACTGATAGATTTCAGCTAGTGTCTTGGCTTACCAAGCCTTGTTTTCACCTCCCTTTCTTCATGTGTTCAATACGTTTATCCTGTGTCATTCCAATTTATTACACATAACTTAATTTCTGAACTTACTTGTTTTGGTTTCTTTTCATGTAAGGGTTGCATGTCAATAGCACCTTTAGAAATATATTTACCTAGAAAAATGGTGACGTATAATTTGGTAACCCTTGTCACTTGGTTATTTCCATTTTATCAGTGTTTTTTCTTTTAGTTGTTAACCACTTTCCTGCCGCCCTATAGCAGATATACTGCCACAGGGCAGCAGGGGTGCGCAAAATCACGTGTGTATATATACGTGATTTTGCATTTCCGGGGAGGGGGCACACACCCTACCCGCGGCACCATTCACTGGCACCCGGTGATTACCGAGCATCTACGAGGGGGAGGAGGATTGTTTTGTTTACTAATAGCTCTCCTCCCTGTCAGCTCGGACACACTGCTTTGGATGGCACACACAGTTAACCCTTTGATCGCCCCTCATGTTAACCCCTTCCTGCCCAGTGCCGTTAGTACAGTGTCAATACTTTTTATTAGCACTGATCACTGTATTGTTGTCACTGGGGATGTCAGTGACACCAAGTCAGTTCCGCCCAGTGTCAGAATGCTATAAGTCGCTGATTGCTGCCATTACTAGTAAAAAACAAAAATCCAGTATTTATACCGCCATTTGTAAACGCTATAACTTTCACGTAAACCAATTAATTTACACGTATTGGGATTTTTTTTAGGAAAGACATGTAGCAGAATACATTTTGGCCTAAATTTAAGATTAATTTTATATTTAAATTTTTTTTACTGGACATGTTTAATAGCAAAAAGTCAAAAATATTGTTTTTTTCTCAAAATTGTCGGTCTCTTTTTTTTTTATAGCGCAAAAAATAAAAACCGCACAGGAGATCAAATACCACTGAAAGATCAATTTGTGGGAAAAAAAAGGATGTAAATTTCATTTAGGTTCAGCGTTGCATGACTGCGCGATTGTCTGTTAAAGTAACGCAGTGCCGTAACACAAAAATGGCCTGGTCAGGAAGAGGGAAATATTCTCAGGAGGGCAAGTGGTTAACTGGGGATGTACAGTCAGGTCCATAAATATTGGGACATCAACACAATTCTACCATTTTTGGCTCTATACACCACCACAATGGATTTGAAATTAAACAAACAAGATGTGCTTTAACTGCAGACTGTCAGCTTTAATGTGAGGGTATTTACATCCAAATCAGGTGAACGGTGTAGGAATTACAACAGTTTGCATATGTGCCTCCCACTTGTTAAGGGACCAAAAGTAATGGGACAATTGACTTCTCAGCTGTTCCATGGCCAGGTGTGTGTTATTTCCTCATTATCCCAATTACAATGAGCAGATAAAAGGTCCAGAGTTCATTTCAAGTGTTGCTGTCAACTCTCAAGATGAGTTCCAAAGAGCTGTCACTATCAGTGAAGCAAGCCATCATTAGCTGAAAAAACAAAACAAACCCATCAGAGAGATAGCAAAAACATTAGGCGTGGCCAAAACAACTGTTTGGAACATTCTTAAAAAGAGGAGGAACGCACCGATGAGCTCAGCAACACCAAAAGACCCGGAAGACCACGGAAAACAATTGTGGTGGATGACTGAAGAATTCTTTCCCTGGTGAAGAAAACACCCTTCACAACAGTTGGCCAGATCAAGAACACTCTCCAGGAGGTAGGTGTCTGTGTGTCAAAGTCAACAATCAAGAGAAGACTTCACCAGAGTGAATACAGAGGGTTCACCACAAGATGTAAACCATTGGTGAGCCTCAAAAACAGGAAGGCCAGATTAGAGTTTGCCAAACGACATCTAAAAAAGTCTTCACAGTTTTGGAACAACATCCTATGGCCAGATGAGACCAAGATCAACTTGTACCAGAGTGATGGGAAGAGAAGAGTATGGAGAAGGAAAGGAACTGCTCATGATCCTAAGCATACTACCTCATCAGTGAAGCATGGTGGTGGTAGTGTCATGGCGTGGGCATGTATGGCTGTCAATGGAACTGGTTCTCTTGTATTTATTGATGATGTGACTGCTGACAAAAGCAGCAGGATGAATTCTGAAGTGTTTCGGGAATATTATCTGCTCATATTCAGCCAAATGCTTCACAACTCATTGGGCACCGCTTCACAGTGCAGATGGACAATGACCCAAAGCATACTGCAAAAGCAACCAAAGAGTTTTTTAAGGGAAAGAAGTGGAATGTTATGCAATGGCCAAGTCAATCACCTGACCTGAATCCGATTGAGCATGCATTTCACTTGCTGAAGACAAAATTGAAGGGAAAATGCCCCAAGAACAAGCAGGAACTGAAGACAGTTGCAGTAGAGGCCTGGCAGAGCATCACCAGGGATGAAACCCAGCGTCTGGTGATGTCTATGCATTCCAGACTTCAGGCTGTAATTGACTGCAAAGGATTTGCAACCAAGTATTAAAAAGTGAAAGTTTGATTTATGATTTCTTATTCTGTTATTCTGTCCCATTACTTTTGGTCCCTTAACAAGTGGGAGGCACATATGCAAACTGTTGTAATTCCTACTACGTTCACCTGATTTGGATGTAAATACCCTCATATTAAAGCTGACAGTCTGCAGTTAAAGCACATCTTGTTTGTTTTATTTCAAATCCATTGTGGTGGTGTAAAAGAGCCAAAAATGTTAGAATTGTGTCGATGTCCCAATATTTATGGACCTGACTGTAAGTTAGTTAGTTAAGTCAATAAGGCCTGCTGCTGTAAACAGTGACTGTGCCACCTACTGGATAGCCAACAGAAAAAAAGGGAGGCTATATCTACTAAGGGACAGCCACATGGAAAGAGTGCAAACACTCCTCTAAGCTAACCAGTCACCTGTAACCACCCAAAGAGGTGGGAAAATACCAGATGGACCTAGATGGAAAAGGAGATACAGGAGCAGAAGATAGTGCAAGGATGTCTATCCCAGGAACCCGGAGGGCACCACAGAGTAAACTTGCCAACCCCATCTCCCCCGAACACCCTGGGTGTCCTTGCAGCTTCCTACTCACTCAAAAAAGGGCACAAGGGGTACACATGAACCAGCAAAACCAAGCCAGAGCCAGTAAAATCTACCACAAAATTACACAAAGTAAATGACGAAAAATAAAAAAAGTTAAAAATAATAAAACAAATAATTAAATCTGCATAAACATAAGGATAAAAAATTTATATAGTTAGATGCCCAACAGAAAACCTGAACAACATTGTAGTCTTCACATAGACCTACTATTGTGCATGGAATAAACCTTAAACTATGAAATCAATTATGTTTTGTTTGAAATTTTCTATGCCAAAAAAAAAAATCTTGCTGCATTGGAAGGATCCAGCTCCACCTACATTGCCAGACATTTGTTGCTTAACCTCCCTGGCGGTATGATTATTTTCGATTTTTGGTGCTGAAAGCGGTACCATTTTTTTGCATGGAAATATGTAGTTTTTTATTGTAGGCTGTAATTTTTAGGAATAACTCACTGAAATCTGTCCAAACAAGTGTCTAGTAAACATTCCGGATATGATAAAACTTGAAACACGAAATCATAAATTATAATTTAATTAATAATCATAAAAAATATTAATATAATAACAATAAATTTAATTCAATAATATAATCAAACCAAATACACTGAAATTTGAAATACAGAGGCAAATTCGCACATCGCTGAGCAAAGTCGCAAAATCGTTTTCAGTGTCTGATGACGAATTTCCCCACAAATCATTATCACTATTAATTCTGCAAGTGGTTCTGATTTACTATCTCTGTTCTCTAGCTGGTCTAAAACCGCTTTTGACATAAAGGGACGCTTTTTGGACGCCATGGACTTTTCTACGTTTCCAGGCAGAAAGAACAGTCAAAATGTAGGCAGGGGACAGGACAAAGCAGTAGGGACAAAATGTATGTGAAATGCATTGAAACAGCAATGTTTTACTATATAATAATCATTTTTTAAAAAATTACTTTTTTTAAAAATTTCAAATTTGCCACCGGTTCCGGCGCCCGTACGTCCCGACGTCGCAGGGACCGGAACATGGAAGCCGGATGCCGGCATCGGCTGGAGGAGATGGCCGGGGACGCTGCAGGGGACACATCGCGGGAGCGAAGGACAAGGTAAGCGCTGCAGGGACTCCCTGAGCAACGCCGCATGGTAAGCCCGAGTGTAGCTCGGGGTTACCGCTCTTGGTACTGAAATTTTACCCCGAGCTACACTCGGGAATACAGCCAGGGAGGTTAATAAACCAGGCTATACCTTTGTACAAACTTATTTACAAAGGACGTGCATATTCTAAAAAAATGTGCTAAAGTATGGCAACCTTGGCTAGATATTTCAGCCTCTCAAATGACAGATTTGGGTCCTTCACAATCCTCTCCTTAAATAGGTTGGATGTGAATCTTCTACCTGGGTCTGAGGAGAACACTGTATGTGTGCGTGTGTTTATGTGTGATTATTGTTGGTGGTTGTATGTGTGGGTGTTGTTGTTTTATCTTACTATTCTTTTGTTGTTGGCTGAATTGAACTGTCCATGTCTATTCTTGCTGAAGGCTGTGTTACTTTATGGATGGTTTACTTTGTACTATCCCGCTGCTTATTGTTGTTGGGCTCTGCGTAGCCAACTTTACTGCCATCATCCTAGCTTAGATGGCAACTGTTTTGTATGCTAAAGGAGAAAAACTTAAATAAACCTTTAAAAAAAACCTATGAAATCAGCCACAGAAATACAAAAATACAATAGGTGCATTTTTACATAGGTAAACCAAACAACATTTTGCAGAAATGATTTGATTGCTTCATTAAGGCCATGAGCTTTCATGGCTTTTAGAGAATTATTCCATTTTATTCTTTCACTGTAGTAAAATTCTATGGGGGGTACATGTTCGAGAGCAAAAAATTCATTTTGGAAAGAGCTGACATGTACTGTATGTGAGCACTTTTGTGTGATCCACTAATTCTTGTATTCTCCCAACAGAGAGAGACTGTTATTAGTGATGACATGTTTGGAGACCCAAGATAGGAGCTTAGAGATCTTTCATGAGTTTCTGAAGATACTGACAGATGATTAAACTCTTCAGCATCTACCAGCAGTAAAAAAGCAGGAGAATATAAGTTTTGGGTAGACTGACTCTACAAGTGTGTCTATAGTGCATAGTGTGTCACTGCAGGTCCTGCCCCTTGCCCAGCCAGAAATATTGTTTCATATATGGACCATGAAATCTTTCATTTTCTGTCCATGTTTTTCTATTGTTAAATGCTGCTATAAATATTTGTTCGACTTCAATAATAATTCTTTTGTAAGTCACAATGCTTTACAGGTCAAGAGAGAGATAGGCTTGATGCCAATTTCATTGTACTTGACTTTTTGTTCTCAGTCTTAGAAAGAAGCAGAGAAACAGGTTGGCATATCCACAGTAACTCCATCTCCCATGGTACAGCTTGCCTATCATAAATGTATTCACGCCCCTCTACCTCAAACTCACAGGTGATGATGCCAATGTTCTCTTTCTGCTTTGACTGCTTAGAAGAAACAAGTCTTATTGCAGAAAAGGCACATAGGGCCTCACCTGCAGGTGAGTGTGTTCACT